TCTCGTCGAGGACCTCCAGCACCAGACGACGCTGCTGGCGGCGCGGGGTCGACACGCTTGGCGGCGACGCCAAGGGCCGCCGTCGGCAAGAAGGAACAACCGCCGCCGCCATGCGGCTGCTGCGCGAGAAGAAGACGGCCGAGGCGACGCTGGGCAAGCGCGGCGCGGCGCTGCTGCAGATGGAGGAGATTGCCGCGAGGATACAGCAGGCGCGGGACCAGGTCCAATTCGTCAAGGTCATGGAGGGCAGCGCCGGCGTGCTGAAGCAGCTGAATGCCGAGGTCGGCGGCGTCGAACGCGTCGAGGGTGTCGTCGACGCGCTGCGGGAGCAGATGGCCGACACGGACGAAGTCGGCAGGATACTCGCGAGCGCTGGCGAGGTCGAGGCCATCGACGACGGCGAGATTGACGATGAGCTCCGTGCGCTGGAGAAGGCTGAGGAGGACAGGATCGCAGCTGAGAAGCAGGCCGAGAAGGACGCCCACCAGGCCAAGGAGGCCGAAGCCACGAGGAAGCGCCTCGAGGAGGCCGGCTCTGTGCCGGAGACGGAGGCGGAGAGCGAGGCAGCGGCTAGGACGGCTGAGCAACTCGAGCGTATGTCGCTGGATGAACGCCCGCAGCCTCAAGCTGCGTCTTGAATACGTTTGTACAGCTAGAGTCGTCACATTTTAGGGTTTTTTTTTTCTTGTTTAACAGGGCGTTATGTGGTTCATATGGGTATCTTGTCTGGTTTGGAACAGCAGATGGAATATGTACATCCTCCGAAAGCAATGACCAGACATGTTGGTTTCATGTACGCCCCCCACCCAAGATGCAATGCTATAATCATAATCATTCCAGAACTTGCTGTTAGCCTGATACCTCATGACTGCTGCCTGCGTCCACGCCTAACGAGAGCGGCGTCTCGTCGAACCCATCCTGCATGAGATGGGCGCTGGTAGGCTTGAGTGGGCCAGGGACGGTTTCTGATTTTGTTGTTGGTGGTTTAGCCTCTTCCGCTCCGAGCTCTGCCTCTTGCACTTCAGCTTCATTATCGACTGCCGATGCCTCGGCCATGACGATCTCGCCGTTGAGGTCTGATTGAGGCATGAAGTCGGCTGGGGCAGTAGAAGTCTCTTGACCATGTCCTCCAGGCTCTGAACCCTTGTCGCCGTCGGCCTCAGAAACTCCAGTAGTCTTTTCAGCTGTGTCATCGGGCTCTTTCTTCGTTTGGACCTGAGTACGGCTCTTTCTCGCATTCGCAATGAGATCCTTGAACTCATTGTCATGCTTCGTCGCCCAAGCTGCGCCATCAAACTCCTTGTCCTTCACGGCCGTGGCCATGGCGCCCGCTCGGCCCTTGCCCAGCGCCGATGGCCTGCCGCTTTGCGTTCGCTCCCAGACCTCCAGATCATGTATCAACTCGGACCGTCGTTTTGGCCTCAGCGAGTCGCAATTGGCATTCCAGATGGTGATCCACTCCCTGTGCCTCTTTTCCATCATCTGGCGAGAGCCGCCCGTCGACAAGCCGAGGTCGACCATTTTCTTCCGCAGGCCTGGTCTTTCAGGATCGAGTAGTTCAGCGAAGGCAGCCTATCCAGAGCCTTCGCCCCGGGCTGTCTCGCCCGTTGGTCATACGGCAACGCCGACTGCGCTGCCGGAGAACCACCGCCCCCGCTGTCCCGCCCTGGCCTCGTGCTCCCTGCTTCCACCGCCGAGGGGCCGGGGCATTTATCGAGATGCGCAAAGACCTGCTCCTCCTTCATGCGGGTCTGGCACATGGGACACGGCACGAGGCCATCTTCGGGCTCGTACGTCTCGTCCCCATCCCCGTCCCCGTCGTCGCCGCCCTCCTCGTCCTCGTCATCCTCCGAGTCGGGAATCTGGTACACCTCGCGCGCAGGGGTCGGGGGTTCCTGGGACCGCGCGGCGCCGCTGCTGCTGCTGCTGCTGCCGCTCAGCCGTGCCGAGCTGCGCAGCCGTTTCGGCTCGGGCGCCGCCGCGTCGCCGTCCTTGTTCTCGCGCTTGCGTTTCGGCGACGACGCTCGTGGCCTTGCTCGCCGTGCCGGCGGCGGCTTCGTCGCAAACTCGAGGGTCTTGGCGCGCGCGTTCTGGAAGGCGCCGACAATCTCGTCGAGGGCCCAGTTGTTCCGCAGCTTGAGCTCCTGGTCCGTGTTGCGGCACAGCGGGCAGCGGCCGTCGTTGGCGAGGGCGTGGCGGATGCAGAGCGAGCAGAACGTGTGGCAGCAGGACGTGAGCATCGGGGTCTTGTAGAAATCCTTGCAGACCTGGCAGCGGAGGGCGGCCTCGACGGGGGCCAGGCCGTCGAGGGGTGTCGAGAGCCAGTCTGTCGAGTCTGGCACGTCGGCGAAGTCGTCGGTCATGATGGCGATGGAATGACGCTTCTTGGCGGGGAGGCGTGGATGCTGGCTGCCGACGACGCAGGCAGGGTTCTGGGTGGGCGCACTGCACGGGATGTGGCGATGATGTCGACGGATTTTCTTTCATGGGGAGTCGCGTCTCGACCGTTTGGCAGCGCGTCGCCTTGTCCGAGGACTTGCAGGGGTGTGCCGCCTAGAGTGGAGTCGATGGTTGCGGGACGCAGGGCATCGGTGGTACTTGATCCACGTGACAGCGCGTCTCGAAGCGCGTTTCTTCCTTATGCCTCTATCCAGAGCACCATCCGCCCCTCCTACCTGCCTGCCGTTGACCTTGCTATCACGATTCGACGGAGAGGGACTCATTTTTGCTTGCCTTTTTGCTTGCCTTGCCGTTTTCCATCCTGTCGTTCGATTGGCCCTCAGCCACTACCGCAATGGAGGAGTACACGAAATACCTGGCGGACCGCCTCTTCACTGAGGATAAGATGGTCACCTACCGAACTCTCAGCCGTGCTCTCAAGGTCCACGTCAACATCGCGAAGGGGTGAGCTCTGTCTGTGTCGTATGGAAGGCTCGGCATACATTCTGACATGATGAGGATGCTCTACGAATTTCACAAGTCGCAGAATGCGACGACACCCGGCAAGGTCCATGCAACGTATCTGGTCTACGGCACCAAGTCGGCAGGTGTCCAGGAGGATGGCGACCACGACATGACCAGCTCGCCGCCTGAAGTGGACGCCATGGGAGACGAAGTTCCCACGCAAACATTGACCCTCGTCCGCGAGGAGCGTCTCACTGGTGCGCCCGACTGTTCACGATGCGCTGTTCTGCTGCTGACACCGGCTCAGATGTCTTGGCTACATACCAGGAGGTGACCGCTTTCCAGGTGTACAGCCTAGCCCCCTTCCCCAACAAGGTAAAACAAGTCATTATGATGCTCGATTCACGATGCTCGATTGGTAGTT